AAAAAAAAAAAAAAAACCGCTCCGGTTTCTCTCCACCCGCCGGGAGCCGGGGGGAGGGGCGCTCGGGTCACGCCGGGCTGGGGCTTGTATCTTACCCCCTTCACAAGGCGCTGGGTTCTTGCAGGTGTGGATGTGGTCTGGATGTTGTCCTGTGTCCTGTGGTCTCTATTTTAGGAAGATTTTTCTTTGTTATATTTTCATAGCTCTATGTGTTTTTGGGAGGAGATTTCCACTGCTCTACTCACGTCGCCATCCTGGCTCCTCAAGGAACATTATTTTTACTAGGCTCCTCCCTTCACCAAGTCCCCCCCACAAACCCCATTACAGTCACTGTCCATCAGCATAGTAAGATGCTGTAGAGTCACTACTTATCTTCTCTGTGTTGCACAGCCCTGCCCGTGCCTCCCCCCACATTATACATGCTAATCGTAATGCCCCCTTTCTTTTTGCTCCCCCTTCCCACCCATCCTCCCCAGTCCCTTTTCCTTTGGTAACTGTTAGTCCATTCTCGGGTTCTGTGATTCTGCTGCTGTTTTGTTCCTTCAGTTTTTGCTTTGTTCTTATACTCCACAGATGAGTGAAATCATTTGGTACTTGTCTTTCTCTGCCTGGCTTATTTCACTGAGCATAATACCCTCTAGCTCCATCCATGTTGTTGCAAATGGTAGGATTTGTTTTCTTCTTATGGCTGAATAATATTCCATTGTGTATATGAACCGTATCTTCTTTATCCATTCATCTACTGATGGACACTTAGGTTGCTTCCATTTCTTGGCTATTGTAAATAGTGCTGCGATAAACATAGGAGTGCATCTGTCTTTTTCAAACTGGGCTGCTGTATTCTTAGGGTAAATTCCTAGAAGTGGAATTCCTGGGTCAATACTTCTATGTTTTGATTGGTTCTGGGGATAAGAAAGGGGACCAGATATAAAACCTGAAGGGTATTTAAAATGGTGGTAGCAATAGCAGACACAAAAATGTAGGATGTCCTGTTGTTTTTTTTTTAATGGAACTTAATGTAGGTAAAGATTAAATGTGACGATGCATTATTCAACTTTGTATCTTTGGGACCCTGGCAAAAATCAGCCGTCTAGGAAGGACTCCATGAAGTTTCTTAAATGAATGTATAAATGATCAAGTTCATGAATATGTGACAAGTCCCAAATAGGTGGGGTGACATTTAGTGCAGGGATGAGTGGTCTAGTGTTTTGGAGGAGAGGCATCATTCATAGTCAGATTGTGAGTTCTAAGAATGTGGACTTTACCCTCAGAGTTTAGTACCAGTTTATTTTGCATAGTTCAGCAATCTGACAGCAATATGCAGAATAAAGCAAGTGGGATGGCTTGGTACTGGAGGCAAAAATGTCTTTTAAGAACTGGAAGGAAAAGAGCGCATTTTTTCTTTAAGGAGATCCAATTTTAGGGAAGGTAAGTTTGGTTTAGGCATTTGAAGCCTTAAGAGATGGTGAGAAGTACACGGGCTTCAGCAGGACCCAGCTAAGCTTTCGTTAAGAGATCGGATCCAGGTTGAGGTTTCGATGTTTTTTTTTTTCAAGCTGAGAGGGAACAACACGGAGACCGACTTCACCAACCCCTTGAACACCTTGGCTTCACCAGTTAAGGTAAATAAGCCTCAGGGATGGCGGTGGCGGTGGCCGTGACGGCAGCTAACGTTTCCTGGCAGTGCCAGGCCGAGAGTTCGGTTCTCTACGTACACAACTGTATACCACTACTACTCACCAAAGGACGACAAGATAATTTAGTGGCTCAGACCTCTTCTCGCTAATCAGTGCTGATTTCACCCTCTCCAGAATCCATACGAGTGTACCCAGGGGTGGTAGCCAGTAGTCAGGCCCAGACGCAGCTCAGAAACGTGCAGAGACACGTCTTTAGGAAGCGCTCTCCTTACCGGAGCAGGGCTCCCAGGGAACGCGCCACGGAGAGAGAAAGGCGAGCCGGCCCCGGACGCACAAGCACCAGGCTGGGCAGCGCCTGGGCCGTCCGGGACAGCTGCACTCCGCCCGCCAGCAGGATGGTCAGTGGGGACGCCGCGGGTCCCGGGCGTGCCTACCGAGCACAGACAACGCGGCGCCCTGCCCGGCCCCGCCTCCCCGCTCTCCCGGCGCACGGGTGCGGGCGTGATTAGACGGCGGACTGGGAGTGGGTGGGACGCCGGGGTCACGTCAATGCGCCATAGACAAAGGTCGGGCGCGCGCACGTCCTTACGCACGCCTCGGTCGGCGGCGGCGGGCGAGCGCGGGCGGGACCGTCAACGGAGGGGCTTGGAGCCCGGCAGCCCGGCAGCCCGGCAGCCCGGCGGCCGGTGAGTGGGACTCAGTCGGCCCCTCCGGAAGGCCACTGGCCTCGGGGGAGCTGAGAGCGGGGCGTGGGGCATGGGGTTCGGGGCCGGCCGCCCCGCGCGGGCCCTGTGGGCCGGGGACGCCCTCGCTACGGCGCCCGGCGTCGGGAGGCACCACTGCCGCTTCCCGGGGTTTCCCGGCCGCAGTGGAAGCGTCGGCGCCCCTCCCTGCAGCCCGCCGCCGCCGCTCCCTTCCCTCCGCCCCCTTCCCGCCCCCGGGCGCGCGGCAGGCCTTTGGAGCTGGGCGCCCGCGGCGGCGGGTGAGCTGGAGGGCGACATCTGGCCCGGGAGCGCCTCCCCGCCAGCGTCTTAGGGCCTGAGGCTTCCCTGGTGTGGTCGTATCCCTTTTCCTCCAGAGGAACCCCGTTTTTCGTTCTTTAGGATGTCTCAACCGCCGAAATCCCTTGCCTTTCCTTTTTTAATCTCAGGGAGCCTTGTATTTTTCCTCACTTTCCGTTTCACATAGGGCTTTAACTTTGTGGTTGAAAGTTAGGGGAAATTGGCTGTAGGAAACACACAGTGTAACCCTGTGGAAGTAAGCCCCATACTGTGCTAGGATCAGTGCCTCTCATGCTCTTGCTCTCTGCCGTTATTCTTCATTGATAGCCTTCTTGAGATCATTTCCTTTCTGGTTCATTTTCCTTAATTTTGGCTGAATTTTGAGTACTTCTGCTTAGTTTCATGTCTTGGAGACTACCTCAACCCGAGGGAAATGGTGTGCAGAACAGTTATCCTTACGCCAAAGGTTGTGTAGAAAGGAGTCCAGTAATAATGCCAGTCCAGGATTCTTTGCTCACTTTGACAGTGTTGTTGTTCTTAACTGTATGGTGGAGGATTTCAGACACACAAAAACAGTAATCCATCCGCAACAACTCAACTTATGTCCTATCCATTTCCCCTTCCCTTATAGCTCTGCTATCCCTTAATCCTCGATAGCAAAAGTAACTTGAGATTAGACATAAAAATCTTACTATGTATGAAATCATAATGTACTTTTTGGGGCACATAGTCTGCTGTTTTAAGTCCTTCAACTAAGAAACATGTAATAGCATTGGAGAAGGATGAGTAAAAGGGTATCTAAAATGACCAGGCTGCTAGAGGACAGGTTAAAACAAAAAGTCTTTTAGGTCTGAATGGGAACTTCTGGGTCATCTTGTCTAACTTCCATTTTTGATGCGGTCCAGAGAGGTACAGTGACTTGTCCAGATCTACAGGGAATGAGAGGCGGGCCTGAAGCTAGAATCTCCCAGCTCCACACCCAGTCATTCTGCTGTACCACATGACTTGCCTTTACGTTGTTCCGTCAGGAAAGCAATGTGTGGAAGAGCTACGACTGAAAACTCTTGAAGGGTTTGGATGGGTAAATAGGAACTCTTCCACCAGTTTCTGGAATCACAAAACCGGGGGGGTATGTCTTAAATTATTTTCTAAACTGAATTTGGGACAAATGGGCAATTCTAATCATACTTTCGGAAACATGGGAAGATTCTGACATTCCAAGGGGAATGCCAGACTGAGCATAAGAACAAGCTTTAAAAGATTTAGATAACATTCACAGCTGTTTGATAAAGAGTTACAAGGGAAACTGGAGTCATTTTGGTGTGCAGCCCTGATGTTTTGCTCTCCTTAGCAGAGAAAACAGCCTCACCTTCCCGTAAACCATCCTCTTACCATTAACAGATAAAAATCTGGACTGGGAGGATCATGGGTTAGGCTTTTTATTTTGCATACAAAGTCATGGTATGCATTTCCTAGCATATTTTACACTGTTAAATTTTCTTATTTTAAGACAGGTAAATTCAGTACTTGTACTTGTTCCTCAATTTTCTTATTCTTAAAATGGGGATATTCTACCTCCAAGAAATGCTGTAAACAGGGAATTTTTGTATGTAGAGTTCTTTGAGCTTGCTTGTAAGTACAATTTATATAATGTGACATAATTGTTTATAAACTTATTTTCGGGATGGACTTTATTTTCTGAGTTTGTGACCTAAATACAATAGTTGTCATGCACATCCAGCTTATGGAAATAGCCACCGAAATAACAGCATCTGGGTGTCTTGGGAAATCATTACCCTGAAGACATGGAAGTCGGGGAGATGGCGTGGTGTATGTGTGAGTGTGTGTCCATACGCCCGTCCATGGGTCCCTTTCCATGGTGTCAGAAAGAGTGGTGTGGTCAGTCTCAGGATTCTAGCCTAACGTAATAATGATTTCTGCTAAAGAATAAAACCGCTTCTCTCATCTGTGTGCACATCACAGAAGGTTCTCTTTTAGTAAAAAAAATCTCTTGCTTCCTGGAGATAGAAGCCAGAGATTATTTGTTCTCAGTTAAGCTTGAATTGTATTGCAGAATTAAATAAAATAGAACCTCATTATGACATGTCATTTACTTCTTTCTGTATCATTTTGCTCATGGGGAGAACTTGATCATCACCAATTCCAGTTTATCACTAATCTGCATAATTCAATAGGCTGATGAATGCTTTTTAAGAGCACAGAATTTTAGATTTAGTAGGAGAGTTAGAAGGCTTTGCATTTTTCCTAACTCCTTTAAGTTACTCCTTCTCCTATAAAACAGACCCATACACATGCCCACGCCACACAGTCACAGAGGCTTGTCTCCTTTCTTTTGGCACTCTTTATTTTACCTGTGTAATAGTCGTCAGTTGGTTTGGATTGAACCGTAAGCTCAAGATCTGCAATATTGAGTGACACTTTATAAAAAGTAGGAGCAAATGAACTTCTGTTGACATTTTGAATTAAAAGAAAACTGGTGAGGAAACAAATCCAGGGAAGCTACAGGACTTGTGGACCAGATAGTAATAGAGCTGTGCCTGACACCTGGGAAGACTCCTGAGTTCCGGTTCTAAGGCCCTTCCTTGTACCATGTTTTCATACCTCAGAGGAACTGGGAGGGAAAATATATTATTTTCAGGATGTACTTTAAAAGTTGATCAGTGCTACCCAATGGAAATATAAAACAAGTCACGTATATCATTTAAAAATTTAATAGTAATGCGGTCTTTTACATTCATTTTTTTCATACCAAGTTGTTGAAATCTGATGTGTATTTTATATTTATAGTACATTTCAATCTGACTAACCACACTTCAAGTGCTTGTAAGACACGTGGTTAGTGGCTACTGTGCTAGCACAGAACCACGGTCAGCTGAACATAAAGATGAAGGAGCATTTTATGTTTTCAGTGATGATCAGTTCTAAGATTAGAGCTTGTGGTTGTGGTCATTGGGTTTTTTCTTTATGTTTTAGTGATTTTTCTCTGCACACTTAGTAATGTTTTGAGTTTATGGCAAGTTGAACAAAGAAGTCTGAGGTTCACAAATTTCGACCCTTGTGATGAAGTGCTTTCTCTTTTTTTAGGATCAGTTTTTTTTTTTAAAACCATCCTAACCAGTTTTAAGTGTGAAGTTCAATAGTGATGTTTTCTCATTTTAAATACCACTGCTTAATTATTGAGGGGGGGGAGCTTGAATTTAAAAAAAATAGTCAGTAACAAAACTCAGTATAAAAATAACATAACAAAAATTGGTAAAAGATTTGACCACTCGGCTAAAGAAGAGTATGGATGGCAGAAAAGCACATGAAAAGATGCTCAATCTCATTTGTGATTCATTAGGGAAATGCAAATTAAACTATGGATACCACATCATCTCTATTAGAATGTCTAAAATGAAAAAGACTGATGATATCAAGTATTGGTAAGGATGTAGAGCAAATGGAACTTTCATGCACTCTTGATGAGAATGCAAAATGGTACAACCAGGTTAGAAAGCAGATAGGCAGCTAAACACACACCTACGTAGACTCAGTGATTTCTACTCATTTACCCAGGAGGAAAGTGTCTGTGCATACAATAGCTTTGTATATAGTAGCTTTATTTGTAATAGTCCCAGACTGAAACAACCCAAATGTCCCTCAGTGGATGAATGGATAAACAAATGGTGGTAGATAACATACAATGGAAAACAGCCCAGCAGAGAAAAATAATTAACTGTTTGACACATGCAGCAACATGAATGATTCTCAGGATAATTATGCTGAATGAAATAAATCAGTCAAAAAAGATTTTTGAAAAAAAAGAAAAAGGATGGAAAGTTGCTTTATTTTATTGCACTGCACAGGTATTGTGGTTCTTACAAATTGAAGATTTGTGCAACCCTGCATCAAGCAAGTCTTGGTGCCATTTTTCTAGTGGCATTTGCTTGTGTCCTGTCTCTCACATTCTGGTAATTCTTGAAATATTTCAGACTTTTTCATTGTTTTATCTGTTGTGATCTGTGATGAGTGATTACAACTTCCGAAATCTCAGCTGATGGTTAGCATTTTTTAGCAATAGAGTATTATTAAATTAAGGTATGTACATTATATGCTGTTGCACATTTAAACTATAGTACAGTGTAAACAAGTTTTATGTGCCCTGGGAAACCAAAAATTGGGTCTTACAGCCTCAGCAAATCAAATTGTCATTTCTTAAACTGATGGCCCCAGAATATCACAATATTCTATAGCCTTTGTCCTTGTTTTTCTTTTCCAGCTTGGAAGACACACATTGCTTCCCTGTGAACTTAGTGCCATGTTACTCTATGACCCAGTCTTAACTGAAGTTAGGCCTTTCTAGGCAAGTAAGAGTAATGAAGGTCAGAATGACCTTAGTTAAGACCAAGACCCAGAAACTCACCATATTCCTGATTTTCTGGTGAGTGGAGTAATCCTTTAGCTTGTTATATCCTGGCTGTGTCTTGGACTGTTTATTTTACCCAGGCTGATGATGGCTGTATGTGTGGTCTTTGTTTTTCAGCACTTCAGGTTCACTTCAAGCTAGTAGCTCTGAGTGCTGTCTCTTTGGAAAATTACGCACTTTTCTTCCTATGCAGCAGCCTCCTGTTCAAGCAGATTTCTTGCACTCCACTACTCTGGTACACTTCACATTAATTTCACCC